AATTGGGGATATGAATTATTTTTGATAATTCTGAGTTTCTAAAATACTCAATATGCTATTGAGCAAATACAGAAAATGTAATGAGAAAAGCAAAATGGCTCTCACCAGAAAACCAGAAATGAATTTCCTCTTTACAGATACACATGCATAATATGGACACAGTGCACCAAGCCACCAAACAAATGGAGAGAGATGATAGACACTTCCTGAGCCAAATGGGTGACTTTAAAATTTAGCCTCAAGTTCATTAAAATGAACAGACTACAATAAGTGGATCCAAAAGTATATGTTGAAAAGATGTGTCAGAACTTGTTGAAACCATGTTTGTTATTGGTGGAAAAGATTTCTCTTTCAACCCTAAGTTGCCCAATTTTTTTAAGAAGAGGGTCAGAGAAAGAACACAGATTTGGGTAGAGGTTTTAACATTCTATTTAGATATAGAAGTTTGGCTCAATATAATTTGTGGGAAATGTGTAAATGTATTCAGCATATAATAAGTCTTGTAGATAGAATCAGTGAATCCAAATAGTTGAAAGAAAACTACACATATATGCCAATGATATTTTTATATGAAGGACACAAGTCTAATATTATCTTAAAAAATGAAATCAAAATATAGAAAAGCAGTAAGGCTTTTAATTTTGGCACATAAACATGTTACTGTTATCTTATGTAAAATTGTATTAATTTTATGCTGTGCATTATGTTAGGGTCACTAAGTACTTATAATGTACTTCTAAGGAAAATGTAATTAGTAAAAAAGAGTAATTGCAACATTTTGGAAGAATATAGCACATATAGAAACGACCCATTCTATTTTTTACATAATTGGAATTTCTTTGAATACGTAAGAAATTAAATGATCTGAGGTTTCACTGTTTTGTTTTTGTTTAACTAAGATGTGTCTCGATACACCACGAATTTACAGTATACCTGCTACAGCAGGCAATAACATATTCTATGACTTCATAATGAGATTTTATCCTGTGTCTATGTGATTCACCTCAGATCTTGTGAATTGTATTTTATTCTGGAGTACACATTTGTAAAATATATAGGAAAAAGAACTTATACTCTGTTAATTGGTGTTTGGAATTTAATTTAATATAACCAGTGAAATACATTTCTATGTAGCTCTTTATGAATAATCATTAAAATTCTAAATGTTTTTCCAGGCTGTCTTATTTGATTGCTTTTCTGTTTCAATTTTTCTATTTTTAACCCAGGGATCAAGAAAACCAGACTTCTTCAGTGACCTTTATTCTCTTGGGCTTTTCTGAATACCCAGACCTCCAGGTGTCCCTGTTCCTCCTGTTCCTGACCATATACACAATCACTGTGCTGGGAAACCTGGGCATGATTGCTTCATCAGGGTCAATACAAAGCTCTGTAGTACTCCCATGTACTTTTTCCTTAGTCACCTGTCCTTTGTGGATTTCTGTTACTCAACTGTTGTAACACCAAAACTCTTAGAAAACTTGATTTTGGAAGACAGAACCATCTCCTTCTCAGGCTGCATCCTGCAGTTCTTCTTCGCATGTACTTTTGTGGTGACGGAAACTTACATGTTAGCAGTGATGGCCTATGACCGTTTTGTGGCAGTGTGCAATCCTCTGCTCTACAGTGCTGTGATGTCCCCTAAGCTGTGCTCCCTTTTAGTGAGTGCATCATACTCTTGGGGTCTAATCTGTTCCCTGACACTTACTTACTTTTTGTTGAGATTATCTTTTCAAGGAGTTAATATTATAAATAATTTTGTGTATGAGCATGCTGCTATTGTGGCTGTATTCCACTCTGACCCTTATATTAGCAAAAAGATAATATAATAATTTTATATAAGATAATAAGATAATAATTTTCTGTGTTCCATTTAATGAAATAAGCAGCCCGGTCATTATTCTTACTTCCTATGTTTTCATTGTCATCACTGTCATGAAGATGCCTTCCATCAGGGGCTGTAGTAAAGCCTTCTCTACATGTGCCTCCCACCTGACTGCTATTATTATTTTTCATGGAACCATCCTTTTTCTTTACTGTGCACCTAACACCAAGAGCTCATGGATCATGGTCAAGGTGGCCTCAGTGTTCTATACAGTCTTCATCCCTATGTTAAATCCCCTGATATATAGTCTCAGGAATGGAGATGTCAAGGCTACAGTCAGGAAGGTGATCAGTAAAATCCTATGGTGCCATTTGTTGTCATGTTTGTGTGATTTGTTTATTCATTCATTTTTCAAGAATATTGTGCAGAATTTCCAAGATTTCTAAAATGACTGACAGACTAATACTAAAAAACAACAGTGAGTTTAACTCCAACTTAGCTGGCTATTCAAAAATCTATTTAATTTGGAGTTGAGTATTCACCCATAAAATAAGCAAAACAACAATGACCTTTCTGTTCAAATAAACATTTTGAACAGAAATTCAACATGCACAATTTTTAAGTTAGCATACATTAATGATGAAATAAATTTCTGTTTTTAGTCATTGGAAAATGAATATATACATACAAAAATATATTGAAAAATTTTCGTAATTAGTAAGCTGTTTAATTGTCCCAACTAAATTATATATCTTTTCTGGTATCGCTTGCTAATCATGACTGATATATTTTGGGATTTTGAAATCTTGGTAAAATTCAGTGCACTGCAATGTTAATTCTACTATCAATTGCCAACTATAGTCTTTTCTTCTTTATAATTTTAACTTATATCCAAAATAAATATTGTAGTTTCCCTTATTAGTAAACATTAATAACAAACTTATGCAACCAAAGCCTTCTAATTGTTTAAAAATAAATATCAATATATCACCAAATTATGCACTTTACCTATAGGGCTATATTGCTTATTCATATGTGGAAGTCTGTAAATCATACATGATATACATTTAGCCAAATGTTCAGCCAAGGACTGTATAAATTTAATAAAATAATATTTTGAACTAGAAATACTACTCAGCAATTAAAAACAAGAACATCATGAAATTTGCAGGCAAATGGTGGGATCTAGAAAAGATCATACTGAGTGAGCTATCCCAGAAGCAGAAAGACACACACGATATATACTCACTTATAAGTGGATACTAGACCTATAAGATAGGATAAACATACTAAAATCTCTACACCTGAAGAAGATAAATAAGAAAGAAGACCCAGGGTAAGATGATCAATCTTCACTTAGAAAGGCAAAAGGGATGGACATTGGAAGTAGGAGAAAACAAGTAGCAGAATAGAAGCCTACCACAGAGGACCTCATAACCAAACCTTGGGCAGAGTGCAGGGAATCATATGAAAGAAGAGGGAGTTAGTATGACCTGGAGAGGACAGGAACTCCACAAGGACCAAATATATCTGGGCACAGGGGTCTTTTCTGATACTGTTTCTCCAACCAAGGACCATGCATGGATATACGCTAGAACCCCTGCTTGAATATAGCCTAGGGCAGCTCAGTATCCAAGTGGGTTTCCCTATTAAGAGAAAAAGGAGCTGTCTGACATGAACTCAATGGTGGGCTCTTTGATTTCCCCCCACCCCCAGGGAGCAGCAGCATGCTAAGCCACAGAGGAGGACATTGCAGCCAGAGAGACCTGATAAGTTAGGGTCAAAAGAAAAGGAAGGAGAACCTCTTTTATCAGTGGACTTAGAGAAGATGAGGGAGGGAGGGTGGGATTGGGAGGGAATGAATGAGGGAGGGGGCTACGGCTAGCATACAAAGTAAATAAACTATGATTAATATAAAAAATAAAAATTAACAAAAAGTTAATGGTAGCTCAAGGGTGTAACATGGTCACCAAAACAGAGGAAGTCTCCTGAAGAGTAAAAGTTTTGTTTTGTTTTGTTTTTTAAGATAATTATGGATCATAGCAAATTAGCCATAGCCCAACTTTGCCAACCTGGTTGCACCTAGTAGCAGAAATATACTCGGTCTGCAGAACACATAATGCTTTTACAGAAGATGTGAGTTCATGTCCTAGCACCCGAATTGGTCAGCCCACAACTGATTGTAGCTTAATTTCCAAAGGATTCAGCACAGACTTCTTACTTTCATGGGCACAGCATTCAAGTGCATAAGCCCACACTCTGAAATGTGCTTAATGATTAAAGATAAAATGTTCTTAAATAAGATACATGCAAAGAAAAAAAGCCTGAAGAATCCTGTGAAGGGAAGGCTCTATCCTCAGAGTCTGAGTTTCTGGCAGTTTGTGAGTACTAACAGGAGAGAAAAGAAATCAAAAAGGAAATGGGATGAGGCAGACATAGCACAGATAAGCAACATATTTAAAAGCATATGCTCAAAACTAAGTATGTTTTAAATGCTAATATAAATACTTCTTTGAACAAAATCATCAAAGTTTTAGGTAGTGCTAGTAGGTTCTAAACTTTAAATTTTTAAATGTATAAGTTTCAGGTGTGTAGGCAAAAGTAAATTTTATAATCTTAGAACCTGCAGTTAGATACTGTGGTTGAAAAGAAAGTTATGAACATTATAATTCTTTCAATATAGTGATTTCTTAGAGAAGGCAGGAAACATGAAGTTTGTGGAGTCTGCATAATATAATATGCTTTTTTATTGTTTGCTGGGTAGAAAAAAGGGTAATTATCATTCACATGTACTCATATATGAATGCTTAGGTACTCATGCACAATTACAAACATGCATACAAGAGAGAGAATATAAGAGACAAGAAAGGAAAGGAAAGGATATATACCAAGAAAAAGAAAGGGAAAGGAAGAATAAAATGAAAAGAGAACTACAAAATATAACGGAAGTAAATTTGGACATCATTAGAGGACCACGATTTAGCTATCTCCATTCTAAGGCAATACCATAATTTCTAGTCTCTATAAAGTTATTTATTGTAAATATTTTAACGGTCACACACACACATATCACCTCATACCAACAATTTTCCAAATATTTTATTTTTATTTCATTATTTTATTTTAGAAATTCAAGAGTAAAGAAATTAATAGCAATACTTTAGGTATATGTTTATAATTAATGAGCAAGGATTTTTAAGTGGATTAGCTTTCTCACGGTCTCCTTTACATCCTTATTTCTTAGACTGTAAATAAGAGGATTGAGCATAAGGATGGCCATGCTGTAAAACACAGTGACTATGTTAACAAGCAGCAGTGAACGCTTCGACCTGAGCACACAGTATAGAAGGAGAATAATTCCATGGCAGAAGGGGATCGCAGTCAGGTGGGAGGCACAGGTAGAAAATGTTTTTTGTAGTGCTCCTTTAGTAGGAATCGTGATGACAGTGATAAAGATGACAGCATAGGAGACAATGATGATCAGGAGACTACATATCTCATTGAACATACAAATTAACAAGCATACCATCTGGCTGAAGGAAGAATCCGAGCAGGCTGCAGAGAGGATGGCCGTGTACTCACAGCAAAAGTGGTTAATGATGGTAGATCTACAGTAAGATAATGCCAAAAGAAAATAAGTGAATGTGGTGGCACACAGTCCACCCCAGAGGTAAGTTCCAGTTACCAGGAGGCCACAGAGCCTATGAGACATGGCCACTGTGTACAGCAGGGGGTTACAAATGGCCACAAAGCGATCATAGGCCATGACTGCTAAAATGAAACTTTGGGTAAACACACAAGCACAGCCAAAGTAAAACTGGATTATGCATCCTTTGAGTGACATAGATCGGTCCTTTGTTATCAGGAGGTCTAATAATTTCAGTGCAATCACGGTGGTGTAACAAAGATCAACAAAAGATAAATGGCTGAGGAAAAAGTACATAGGAGTGTGGAGTTTGGCATTGATCCTTATGACCAAAATCAAACCTAGATTTTCCAAAAGAGTGATGATGTATATGACCAAAAACATCAGGAACAAAGGCACTTGTACGTTTGGATACTCTGAGAAACCCAAGAAGAAAAATAAGGCTCCAGTACTCTGATTCACTTGATACTGCATTTGGAACTTTCTTTGCGGAGATCAGGATGTTCATTCAAGCTAGCAGGATACAGTGGAAAAGAAACAGATGAGTATGTCTTAATTCATGGCACAACATACACCAACAGGTATTTCAAAAGAACATAGCTTGTTTTTTTAATCATAGATTGTTTCTTAGATCAGTTGGGAGGAAAAACATCATCTCAGTTAATTTACACCAACAAATCATTAACAAAACGTTGTAAATACTTTAACGTTATCGTGCAAGCATAGTCTACACCCCAAACTGCATAGAAATCCCCCTCAGCCCTCTAAGTCTTGAGACTACTTTCTCTGATAATATTGGTACCAGAATAGAGCTTCTAAACAAAGCTGTTAATATATAGATATGCTCAACGGCTTTAGAGTCCCAAATAGCTCTTCTCAAAGAATATTTGGGATATTATTGGAAAAGATTAAAACATTTTTGGTAGATTCTATGGTGATTGATTTTTACTGTCTGTCTCCTTTATTTCTGTCTTCCTGTCTCTTGTGTAAGACTCTAAAATAGAAAATTTAGTTATTATTAGTTATAAATATTAAAACATTGCCTAAAAGAAAATAAATTACATAGATTTTTGTACATCTCAGAAAATGGATATTCATGAAAAGGGATGTGGTATAAAATCCTGAATTGTTTTAAACCACAATGATACAAAAATGTAAAAATAATTGAATTTTGTTAATGAATTTAGCATCATAAGCATGCTTTTATCATGTTTATATTTTTAAACATTTTTAATTTTTACTTTTTATATTAATTACAGTTTATTCACTTTGTATCCCAGTTGTAGCCCTGTCCCTCCTCCCCTCCCAATCCAACCTTTCCTCCCCCATCTCATCCTATTCCCCTCTCCAAGTCCACAGACAGGAGAGGTCCTCTGCCCCTTTCATCTGACCCTAGCTAATCAGGTCTCTTCAGGACTGGCTGCAATGTGGCCTGGCAAGGCTGCTCCCCCATCCAAGGGAGGCAGTCAAAGAGCTAACCATTGAGTTCATGTCAGAGACAGTCCCTGTTCCCATTACTAAGAAACCCACTTGGATACTGAGCTGCCATGGGCTACATCTGAGGAGGGGTTCTAGGTTATATCTATGAAAGGTCCTTTGTTGGAGTATCAGTCTCAGAAAAGATTCCTGTGCCCAGATATTTTGGTTCTGCTGCCATCCTTGTGGAGATCCTGTCCTCTCCAAGTCTTACTATCTCTCCCATCTTTCCTAAGATTCTCTACACTCTGCCCACAGTTTGTTTATGAGTCTCACTATCTCTTTCATACAATGCTGGTTACAGTCTTTCAGAGGCCCTCCGGGGAAGGCTACTGTCCATGTTTATTTTTATTTTTATTTGTTTTTTAATTATTTACAATTTGTTCATTGTATATCCCAATTGTGCCCCTATCTCAACTCTTCCAGGCCAACCTCCCTATTTTCTCCTAGCCCCTTCCTCTAGTCCACCGCAAGGGGGAGCTCTACTCTGCCATCTGCTCATAGTTTTTCAAGTCTCTTTTTTTTTTCTTTTTAGTTACAATTTGTTAACTCTGTGTCCCAGCTGTATGCCGCTCCCTCATTCCCTCCCCCTCCCTAACTCCCTCCCTGGTCTCCTCCCTGCCCCTTTCCAAGTCCACTGATAGGGGAGGATATCCTCCCCTTTCATTTGACCCTGTTTTATCAGGTATCTTCAAGGCTGGCTGCAAAGTCCTCCTTTGTGGCCTAACAGCCTGCTCCTCCCCGGGGGGGGGGGGTGTCAAAGAGCCTGCCCTTGAGATCCTGTTAGAAATAGTCCTTGTTCCCCTTACTTTGGAAAACTACTTGGTTACTGAGCTACCACGAGCCACATCCGAGCAGAAGTTCTATGTTATAACCATAGATGGTCCTTGGTTGAGTGTCAGTCTCAGAAAAGACCCTGTGCCCGGATATATTTAGTACTTGTAGAGCTCCTGTCCTTTCCATATCATACTAACTCCCCTTCTTTCATATCATTCTGAGTGAAGTATCCCAGAAGGAGAAAGACAAACTTGGTATATACTCGCTTATATAGACCTACAAGATATGATAAACATAAAGAAATCTACACACCTAAAGAAGATAATCAAGTAAGTGGACATGGGTGAAGATGATCAATTCTTATTTAGAAAGACAAATGAGATGTGCATTGAATGTATGACAGGAGTCTACCGCAAAAGGCATCTGAAAGACTCTACCTAGCAGTGTTTCAAAGCAGACACTAAGACTCAACCAAACCATGGCAGAGTGCAGGGAATCAAGTCTCTTTAGGACTGCCTGGATCCTCTTTCACTGTGGCATGTCACCCTGGGCTCAGATATTTTAGCTTTGTTGGTCTCCTTGTGAGGCAAACAGGATAGACACCAGAAGCAGAGGAAGAAAGTGAACAGGATGGGAGCCTACTATAGAAGGTCCTCTGAAAGCCTCCACCCAGCTGAACAGAAACAGATGCTGAGACTCACAGTCAAACTCTGGGCAGAGTACAGGGAGTCCTGTGGAAGAAATTTGGGGTAGAAGGACAGGGAGGGTACAGGAATCCCATACGGGATTCAACAAAGAATAGAACCTGGATTTTATGTCACAAGATTCCAAAAAAGAAAAAAAAAAAGTCAGTACTCCACGGACCATTCTAATGTAAGACAGATTTGCAAGCATAGGTCCTTTTCAGTACTCACTCATCTTGCCCATAAAGCATCAATACCGACAGTAGAAAGCCACATTTTTTTGTCTCTTGCATTTCTTATCTGGTTGAACAAAATGCTTATTTTAAAATACAAATTATAATTTACATTATTTAGGGAAATTGTTCTGGTTTGGAAGTGAGAAGTATTATATAAACCCCCAGTTTTACAATGAAACTCAAAGATACTTGTTTTCTCATTACTATATTAAGCCATCTGCAGTGCTGTTTTTTTTTTTTTCCCCCTTACTTGTTTCTTGTGTTAAAATTGCCTTCTGCAGAATTCTGCCTGGTCTGATTCTCTCCTGTTGGAACTTCTTAGAAAAAGATCCACTTCTATAACTGATATCTCATTATTTTATCTTCAAGAACAAGTCTTGAAATCTTAGAATACTTAGCATTTTCTATTAAGCCTGAATCTCCAAAATTAGGTTACTTACCAATTTGAACTGGCTTTAAAGTCTTAAAAGTTTATAGTGTTGTGTTTAGAATTTGAAAACCAAAAATAAATATATACTTCCTCATAGAAGCATACCTATAATAATCAATTTTGAGAAATAATACTTTTATAATAAGCTTTGCCTTGTACTTCTGATAATTGGAACTCTGGCAAATAAACACTACATTTTCAATAGTAAGCAATATTCTCTTCAATACATAAATGTTTTATGTTTATTTTATTTCAATGAAATAGTGTTTTGTCTTCATGAATATCTGAACTGTCTCTCTGCATTTATTTGACAATTAACTGACTGGATCTAACATCTTATCACCCAATAACCATATCTTCAGCATGTATGTGACATGACTTACTATCCAAGCCTTAATAATAGGCCACTTACTGAGTCTTTCTGAGTGTATAAATGAGACTTTTGTTAGATCTTTGACTGGATTAGGTTATTATGGGTTAAAATTCTGCTTCACTAAACTATTCATATGTGGCTCCAACAAGTTAAAGTCTGTTGCCCATTTCCTTGCACATGAAAATATAGTGAGTAATTATTAATTCAATATTATTGATATCACTGTTGTTATGTTTCTTAAACAAATTAGTTTTAGAGCAATAAATACAGAACTACACATTACAGTGAATATAGACTGTTTTTTAAAATATAGACTCATTTTTCCCTCCATGTGACAGTTTCTTGAGTTTACTTAGAATTTATAATGCCTGAAAAACAAATATGGAATTATTAGCAGTTAATAATGTCTTACAAATTATGACTGGTATAAATAATAAACTGGAAATGGAAGCATTCTGGCAAAAATACATTAAAAGCAATATTTTCGCCTGGTCTTCGGATTACTCCTAAGCTCTCAGCTACACTTTCCTTTTCCTACAGCACCTCAAATTATCACACATTGTTTCCATCTTCTTTTTTTATTCCAGTCAAGATGACATACAAGAATTACTCAACATGCACTTGTGTGGATTCTAACTTCACAGCATTTATACTAATCAAATTAACATTGTTTCTATGAGAAGCCTTTACATGTCCATTCTGCCAAAGTATTTTTAAAACTGAAAGTTTAAATAGTATTACTTTAATTCCACCTATTTATTAGACATATGATACACTAATAAAACTCAAGGACAAAAATCAAGAAAGGATTTTCACTGAGCTAATAAACAGTTCAGTACCTTGTATTATGAATCTCAGAAGAATCATGTGCTGTTATTGCCACTTGGTTCACAGAGCTCCTTCTCAAACAAACATAAACTTTAACTTAGGGTCACTCAACATGAATGAGAACATGACATGTTAATTAGCCATCACCCTAAATCCAGGTACCCTCCTTAGGTTTATTTATCAATGATCAATTCAATTATTAAAAAAATTCACAAAAGTTTGATTAAAGACATGAATCTAATTTGGAATTCATCCATAAGATTTTCATTCTAAAAATAAGCGCCAAGGAAATCTTATTCAATGTTAAAAAAAAAAATAATGGCAAGCATAAAGGTACCCTTGATGGGAGTAAAACTCAAAAGCCAAATATGGAGATCGAGGAGCATATTTTAAGTCTGAGTGCATGGCCCCAGGAGATCATACCACAGCAAGATCGAGGAGTGAGTTTCAAGTCTGAGTGCATGGCCCCAGGAGATCACACCACAGCAAACTTGAGAAAATATGTGCCATGAAGTAGAAAAAAGATGAGTAAGAAACAGTTTCCCAATTATCATAATTAATCTAAATTACCAAACCATATGGGACATTTAAACAGGTTGATTATGTTTAGCAGAAAAATATAACAAATTTATGAAAACCATTGTGTAGTCAAAAATTATAAATTTATTGCT